TCAGAGGGCGTTGCTACGACGAGATACAAGCAAAGTTAATAACTCAAACAGAGAAGACCCACTAAAGTGTCAAAGAGTCATTATTTCAAAAGTATATCCAAGAAATTGACTGTTTTTATCTTGACAGAAGTGATGTTTTAGTGGTTGACAGTTTTCAATGTCCACGGCGGGTGGCAGTATTGAATCCTAGACATGGTACATATCCATGTGGTACTGTGCAATATCAACGTTATTAGCCTCGTTAGTGTAGAATACCAATTGTTTTCCTATGAAAAAAGGTTTTGATTTTGATCTTAACGTGATGATCTTAACGTGATTCTTATGTCGAAAAATCCGCGCATTTGGTCAAGTTTAATGTGATATTTAGTAACTTTTTTATTGGAAAGTATTTCATGCGCTAAATAAGTTAAGTCAAAGTCTTAACTTTGGTTTTTGACGGCGAAAAATTAGTTAACTTCTATTTGTGTATAAAATTACCTCGAAAACGCATTTCTCTAGACGAGAACCGAATTTTGGTGCAAAAAATGCAATGGCAACAGTAACGAGTTTGAACTTTCGTGAAGTACCACTGTAATACTGCGGACAACAATGGAACTAATATGGAGATAGATTGGGTACTAGTCTTCAGGTTTACGACTACAAGATCAGAAAAATGGCAAGATCAAAAGACTTGCATTTATAAATTAATTAGAAGATGAATTTAAAACATTTCATACGGAACAAGGCATTAAAAATTTGGAAAGAAAAAGAAATTTTTGTTATATCCAGAGATTAGAATCATGAGTGTAGAGTTCAGACAATTGCACACAGCCATGGGGGGATGACCACCCAATAAAAATGAATAATGGTGTCAGCTATATATGAAAGTCTCGGATGATCAAAGGCGTCGAGAAACACCCTCACTACCTGTTTTACTGTTTTACCAACACGATTAGATTAGTATAAACAAAGATTGTTCTCTTCTGGTCGATGAAGCATACTAACGATTATACCGAACAGGTACCATTACTATGGGATAACTATCAAGACAACCTCACCTTATCATGATACAGTGTGCAACGCTGCGAGACAGAGCAGCACAGGGTAAGTGAAATTCTGATTTTAATTTTTACCATTTTGTGAAAATTATTCCATACTTATACTAAATACGGCCGTTCAAAGCGAGCAACCGCTGCCTTAGTTGACAACAGTCTCTGATGCGCAAAGACCTTAACAAAAACAAAAGAAAGCACGAAAAAATGATGACATTACCTGCTAAAAAGTGCTAATATTTCACGCATATCACATCTTTATTGTTATTACAGAATTGTTTGGAAATTTAAAAATTTGTATAAAACCTTTGCCGAGTTCGAGTTGCTTGGAGCGGTGTTCATTTTTTAAAAGCTCAGTGAATTTCAGAAACTTTACAGCGAGCTCTGCCTATGACTTTGTGTATTCATTCATTAGCTTTTTAATTAATTCATGTATTCATTTGTMTAACGGTTCACGTGTTTCCGTATTCATTAATTATCCTTTTCACGTAAGATACCGTTCAAAATAGTGCCTTCGAGGCGTTTATGTTAGTCTTCTTCTCGCCTGGGTTCCATATTATCGTGCGTAGTGAATGGGGAATGCATTATAAGAATTTCACACGACCGATAGTGATGAGTCGAATACAAGTAGTAAGGCTTTAGGGCGAAGCCAAAGCAAAGCAAATATTCTACGAAAAAAAAACCATACTAAACGCCTTGTGAACTCTTTGTAAACGATCGGCGCACGATAAATAGCTGCTATCCATGTCATCTTTTATGTAATGGTTTACGAAACATCAGTCCACTACACAAAAACGTTATAACAGTAACCTTTTGAAAGTAGTTATAAAATCGTGGTATAGAGTTCTTTGTTCTTTAACGAAAGCCGCATATAAAAATCYTGTGGACATCGCCCTAAGGTGTATTAGTTAACATCTTGTGTGGCATGAAAAGCCTTTGAATCATTAGCGTCCAAATGATGGTCTAATGTGGCCATTACTTCACCCTCACTATCTTAAATAATAATCTACAACTTAATCATCAAACAACGTTTATCATTTGAGACGCAAATCTTTAATCAGTAAAATAACTGTTGCTACACAARATCACGGCTGAAAACGTTTTTAGCAAAGACCCAATGGAAAATCAAATAAATGCTATGCTAACTTATGATAATTCTATTATTTTGATTATAGTTAGTACTATTTAGTGATAAATAGRGCACACATTTAGTAGAAAAAAACTGAAAGTGAATGAATGAGAAAGAGATTAATTTATTATATAAATTATTATGAAATACCAGTGTATCTTTCGCMCGAAAAAGTGATATCTTTCACACGTGAAAATAYCATGTTATTTTCACATGTGAAGATAACACGCTACCATTAAATAAAGGTATATTCAAACTTTTGCTGCTGTTTTGTGTATATAATAATTTATATAATAAACAGAATATTACATGGGCGCTTGGAGATACGAATTTTATCTTCTCTTCGATAAGCTCACTCGTTTGATATCAATTGAACACTCGAAGATAAAATTCGTATCTCCGCGCACCCATGTAATATCCTCTGTATAATTAGCACATCTCATGACAAAACACGTCACACTTACAGATTTAGTCAAACTTACAGTAAAGCAGAGGCCGATGAAAGAACAACTAACCACGGCGTTACCAAGACAACACATGGATCCAGCTCCAGCCTTATGGTGGCTCCAGGAGGAACACTTCTACCMAATTTCCCGGATGTGACCCTTATGAAGCTACCAATTGAGGTCCCTCGTGATAAGGTTCGCATTAAACCATTCTCAGTTCGACAATCTAGAGAGAGAGCGATGTAGTAATATTATAAGAATGACCATATAACAATGCGTGCCCCTCCCCCAAGATCAGGGCATTGCAAGTGCCGAAACGTTCTAATAAAGAGTGGAAATACTAGTTGCAAGTTGTGTGCCTTTTTCTTCAATTTATTCAATTTATATAAATAGATATGAATATATAAATAGTCATGTCTAAAAATACAAGTTTTGATATTCAACACAATTTGTTCCAGGTCAAAACGTTCCTCATCATGTACCGAGCACATTGTCAACGTATCCTAGACACAATCTTGAGAGCAAACTTTGGCGAGGTACGTATCTACGTAAAATATTATTATTATTTTGTCATCACGAAAAATCCAGCGGTGTAAGACAATTTAGTTTCAGATGACAAACATTTCAAACAGAACTTTTCATTTCACTTCAACGATCATATTCACTGAGAACTTTTTATTTTAAAATCATTAATACCATACAATCTAATGCCAGGGATGTTGTCGTTTAAGGTACAAAATTTCCTGGTCCARTTCTGGCAAGGGATGCCAAGTCATATGCTTGAAGTACTGGGATGCTCGGACGTTGTTAATCTAATTGGAATTTGTGACGGGATTCTATACAAGGTACGTAGTCATGGGAATATTATGAGTAACCATAGGAACGAGAAAATACCATGGTAATAGATTAAAGTTTGGAAATTTCTGCAATTACTTCATGCTTTGTGTTGATATTTTTTTTCCAGGCAATTAGTGGTGTACTGATACCAGGAACACTGCAACCATTACCAGCAAGGTATAATGCCATCCACTGTTATTTATTGTTCTTTATGACGTACTTGTAAAGGTTACAAGTGTTGCGATAAGGAATGACGACTACTAAAACGARCTTGACAAAGAAATTCACGACTCGTGCTATTTCCTTTCAGTCTAACCCAAGCTATTCGCCATTTTGCTAAACAACTTTGTCAGTGGTTAGAAGAATCACTCGCTCACTTACCACAGCCTTTGCAGGACAAGAAAGTCAAAGGTATCGTAGCCATCTTGATTTTACATTTCTGGAAAAGAGAAATTGAACAGATCAACCATTTTCATATGTTTTGTCATCGTTCTGTGAACACTCAAGACGTTTTTGAAAAGACTTTCATCAACAAATCGTTTTACGTAGCTGTTGTCTTCATTCATTCAAGTTCAATTAAGTTCTTAGTTCTGATAGTTCTATTTCACTTTTTTTCAGTTGCCAAAAGTTTTGCTCACTCACTTCGAAGGCAAACGTCTTTGACGCATCTTGCCCAGGTAAAACATCCTTTCAAAGCGTCCKAAATATTATAAAGCTTGAGTAAAAATAAACGCTTTTATCATTATGACCATAATCATCARCATCATTATTCAAACAACATCATCGTCATCATATTTTCCCATGGAATAACAATATTACCTTTCTTTAGGCGGCACGTACAGTATTACACAGTGCAGAACCAGTGACTCAGATGCTTGCAGACTGGGGACAAATTGATTTTGAAGGAATRGCACGACAAGCGATGTGGACATTCAGRGAAGAGACMCCTGATGAATACACAARGATTAAAGACAGTAAGTCGATGTTAATACACTTTAAATAGTCTCCTTCACGGTTACCTGCGCAATGTTGAAAGGTAGCCGTGCCTTTACATCGAAGCGAGACAACCGTTGAGCGTGCAATGATAAGGCCCGTTTACACTTGCAATTTTTGCAGCGCGATATTGTCGCACGACAATCGCCACTTTGTTCTCTCGCACCTCAAATCGTACGTGTAAACAGCCCCGCGATTGTCGCGGCGATCAAAAATCGTCGCGAGTTGCGGCTAAATTTCAAGCATGTTCGAAACTAAGGCGATTGTCGCGCGACAATCGTGCTGCAAAAATTGCAAGCAAAAATTGCAAGCAAAAATTGCAAGCAAAAATTGCAAGTGTAAACGGGCCTATAGAAACCTGTGAATAATTGTCTGTAGGTGTGAAAGAAGGTTTCTATCATTGCACGCTCAACCATCGTCTCGCTTCGATACAAAGGCACGACTACCTTTCAGGATGGCAGAATCTTCAATCGTCTTATTAATGTTACTTTACTTGTAATGAACTAGTCAAAATCCTACAAATAGAATCATTAATCGTCTTATTAATGTTACTAGTTCATAATGAGTTTACCCAACTACTCGATCAACAAGCRACGATTGACCAATATGCTGACTGGGCGTCATCACTAGTAGACCGCTTTGTTACTAAGGTGAGCATTAGCAGAGRCCGTTGTTAGGAACTACAGTCGATRCTGAGCAATTCGATCCACTTACCAACAAGTTTGATCCAACTTATTCATTGTTCGCYATGTTCATAGCTTTGTCGAAGATGAAATYAATCATAAATCCATTGTATGACTTTGGATTAAAACAACTGGCGATTGAAACAAATGACATTCTAATTGTATTTTGAACAAATGACTAAGAAAAGATGACAAWCTTGTCTGCTACTTATCTACAATGYTWTTAAGAAGTAGAACTTACATTGAKGGTTTCTTTCATTTGTAGAAAGTCAGCAAAGAAGGAAAAACATTTCAGAAAGCTGCACAAGATTTTCTGCTGAAATGGTCGTTCTTCAGCATTAGAATCGTGAGGGAATTGACTTTGCACAGTGCTCACAGCTTTGGTAAGATATTGTTCCAACACTTGACCCCTTGCACCTTTTTTTCCCACATTCATCTTTTCTGTATCATATTTTTACTTTTCATCTTTTCTTCCACTTTTAATCTTTTCTTTCACTTTTTCTATCTTTTTTTCCTTGCTGYTCTTGTTCAAAGTGTGTAATCTAAATTATGACTTTCCACCCCAGGTTCTTTCCACTTGCTTCACATGCTCCTTGAAGACTACATTTTYTATATCGTGGAGAACCAAAGTAACCAAGAAGACGGTTCTGAAACACCATTTAAAAGCTCGGTTCCCGATGGTAAGCATTGCAACCTAGGCTCTCATCCAGAATGATTTGAATAACTTTTGTTTTCACCAAAACATAGTTTAGACAAATTTTATCTTTATATTAAGAGAGTTATTATTTCTTTCCTTGCAGTTCCAATGTTTGATGGAGACGAACCATTATCGTTTGATAGAAACAGTGATACCTCTGATAAGTACATGCGATCAAGACGCACTTCGTATGCTTCGGGTAACGGGATGCTTAGCCCTCGSGACATACCTCGAATGTCGATCTCYTCTCAACGATCACCACTCTACAGYGACGTGTCACCACATGCTCTTGGGTCCCCRACTAATAARAACATCAACAAAACACCCGCTGARCAAGGACACTTTGTTTACCCACCTACACCAGAGGTGAGCCCGCGATATCCTTACGGATCCTCTCAAAACTCCACAAGTCAACTGTCACCAATTGGCCAATCAATGAACAGCTACAGTCAATTGTCTTCAATGGCAACCGAGAATGGACCAATGGGAAACAGTTATGAAGTRCCTAGAGGGTATACTGGGATGGAGCGATATTCGAACCCCGACAGTGGYASCTTCTTATCACCACGTTCCAAAGGGAGTATGGGTAACACAAGCTATGCTGCTATGTCATCATCCTCGAGTAGCATGCCATATGAATATCARCGAAGRTTTTCACCAATGGTTGTTGATCATGTMAAACATTACTCACAGTACCCCCTGACAGAAAGAAACTACCCCTCGGGGTACATGTTCAGTCCAAGTGTCATGGCTGGAGCKAACTATCCCTTACAATCAAGCACTAGCACTGCTAGTGAACGTTACTACCCCGATGTACTAGAGGAGTTTGTTGATATGCAAGCAGCAATGCATCATGGTTTACCAAGCCGACCGGTGAGGGGTGACTATGGTTACAGTCCAGCAATCTTGACAAATTAGCGAAAAACCAGGCTGAAAATAAGAGCTTCGTGTATCCATCAACTGGTAATAGAAGGCACTAGAACCGCCAATAAATAAGTGTAACACTATAAATCCGTGAAACTGATAACCCGTTAGCATAGATATTAATATTTTGTACTATTTTTAAAAGTTTCGCACTTAAACCGTGCAACTGTACAAAATCTAAGTAATACTAATTTGTACTAAAAGTGGACCTGAATCAAGACGCTCCATTTGTATCAATTCAATTTAATTTACGTACGACATGCACGATTTACTAAATACAACTACATAGCACTATTTAGTTTGTACAGTTGCACGGTTTAAGTGCGATCACTCTAAGTGCGTCAACTCTAATATACTGTACAAACTAGTTCTAGGACTGGACTTAAAAGCCATACAATAGCAAATTAAACAGTTGTTTCACAGATTTAAGGAGAGGAACCTAGTTTTCGTTCCAGTTTGGTGCCCTAATGATATTTGCTTTTAAAAGCTTTAATACAATTATAGTCAAGAATAATTCATTATGGGGTTTAATATGGGTAGTAAAGAGARATCAAAGTCTCTCTAATGTGAATAAATAGTATGTTATCGAGTGTTAATGTTTAAACGAAGAGATCTCTACTGCAGATAGAATTTATTAATGTTTCATYTAAATTTTTTATAGGATTTTSAATAGACTTTATATCGTGAATAACACGTATTTAAATATTCGCTAAAGAGATAGCTTTTTCGACTTGATTTTAGCTCTATTTGGCATACGGCAATATCAATACCGATGTACAAAGAATTTTTTAAGGGAAACTGTCATGGAATGTGCAGTAAAGCTCACGATCTTAGACGCTGCGGCAAACCTCTGTCTGCCATTGTAAAATGGCGTAGCTTTTCCTCCTCCACGAGCCGACATCTTTAGCCACTTGCAAATGTGCACTTCATGACATTACACCTTTAAGTTAGGACGTCGAACGAATTAATAATTTAAGTGATGTTATCTAGTTCGACATTTTGAATCACGTGACTAATCTGGGGTTTATTATACAAATGTTTAAATAGAGCAATGGTTTACGCTCAAAGTAGCGATTTGTATACAATAAATTGTATTTATTAAGTTATTTCTCTAGAAAATACCTTGTAATTACTACATTTATGAWTATAACGGTGTTGTTCATCATCAAAAATAAATAAAACATGTCTTGAGAGTTTAAAGGAAAGGAACATACTGTATTACTAAACGCCCGCCATCTTGAATACTTGCAAGCAGTACAACGTAAAATGGTTTCTGTTATTTAAAATATACTTCTTTCAATAAACACGCACAATAATCGTCAACAATGCAATAAACKAGGACCCGATGAGATATTATTTTTTGCTGACAGGCGTTGACATCGTCGAATTGATAAATTCAATTCATATTCATTTCAAAACGTCTTCCATCAAACCAACCAATCACGTCCCAACACTTTCTGACCACGATGAATTACATTTCTCGATCATATAATATTATGAGGGAGGGGAGGAAAAGGTTAATTAATGAATCTGTTAAAAATTTATTTCAGTTCTTCAATGAAACATACTTCACTAWGCAGGATATTTCAATGCATGTATAGAATTCCAATAAACAACTAGTAGGCATGATGTCATCATGCCAATCTTCGGTTGGTAAAACACTTGAAAGGTTATGCATTTGGAGTGATATGACAAAGACGAAGCAATAATAGTAATACGAGAGCTTTATTGTCGTTGAAATGTTGAGAGATTCATGTCATCTACAGCCATAAAAACAGTAGATACATAATCCCTTTTTGCTCGCGTAAAACGCATGTTCTGACGTAATCACGCATGTACAATGGATGCTAACAAAATCACGTGACTGAGCACAATGTCTGAATAAATTGCCACATGCTTTTCAAATTGACCAATCAAATAYAGCCTGTGCGCTGACGTTCTGGTCTGATTTTTGGGKAATTTGTGAGACTAACAGGAGAACATCTAATACGGACCAGGCTTACTCTTCCCTGTACACAAGAGAAGGGATTGGATACTACTACTATCTCTTTTTCCAGACTGACTCAATAGAAGCTTTAAGCGAGGGTGGTGTTTCTTCGTTAGTACGTTTCCTAAGCAGCTCAGACAATGCTGTTTCAAGAGTTACTACTCGTTCATCGAACTCASTCTTCTGRCTCTCTAACTCCGCAACGAGTTCGTCGTTCTGCGACTCGAGTTTTTCTACCTTCTGAACCAGTTTTTTAAACTCTTTTTCTTCGATAACTCGTCCTTGCATAGATACTCCRTGGGCATTTGAGTTTACACCATCGGCTTTGCTACTGATACGTCGTTTATCATTTTCAAGTTTRTCTAAAGCAATCTTTTCAATCTTTTCCTTAATAGCTGGATACTCATTTAGTACTTCCATAAGATCGTTCTTTGATAGACAGAATAACTCGGTATAGCCTACGGACCTYACAGATGCAGTRCGCCTGTTWCCRGCACTGCTCATGCATAARACGCTTATCTCACCAAAGTAGCTTCCAGCTTCAAGAGCGGCGTAAATCTTGGTTCCTCGCTCTGATACAACCTCTAGTTTACCACGATTCACGATGTACATCTCGCGTCCTACTTCTCCTTTACGGCAAACGTA